AAGCAACCCTTGGTACGATGCTTTGATCTCGTTCACCCACTACTAAAAACTTGGGAAGAAACTGCGTCGTTCATCAGAAGGGTCTTTCATGCTCAATTCTCGTGCTTAAAGTCATGACGAAACAGATTTTGCACCTCGTTTTTCATACCATTGCGTGATTCATTCTGGAGAGACCTTTAAGTTATTCACAGTCCTTCAGAGCTTCCTCCATTGGTTGTTTACGATCCTAAGGAACAGGTGAGCAAATGAATCACTTGTCAACCTTCTTTCTCAGCCGCGATCAATTCGTTTCTCCAGCTCGTCATTTATGCAAAAGCGTGTTAGCGTTGAGAGCTACTTCAAGTTTCTATCTCGAAATCCCATTTCAACATTGGCCTTTTATTGGAAGTTATGCAGTCCTCAAGGAATTGTTGCCATACTCGCGCATGCTTCTATTTTAGCCGTTTAAGCTCTTCATTTTATGATGGCGTACTTACTGTGTTTCGAGGCTGGGATTCCATCACTCCGGAAACAGTAGTTGCGTTCACTCATGGCTTCAAGATATTTGACTCATCAAACTCCCATCACTGATGGCATATTAGACGACCACCTGATTAGGTCAATCCCCCTCGTGTGTGATCCGGTCCCAAGCGCCGAGATTAAGCGCCGAGATTGTGCTGGTTCTGTGGCTTGAACGTGCGCGGTAGAGGTGTAGCTAGGAGGTACAGTGTTAAGGTGGGAAGGACCGAATCTCGCTCGCCGCACTGTGTGAACCTGATTATCACGTGTGTTGATGTCTGCGTCTTGCTCGTTTGTGAGCTATCATTTCCCAGTGCCCGGTGTTTTTCTCCGTTAGTTCGTTCACTGCTTAAAGGCAAAGTTCGGGCTCAGACCCACCTAATAAGCCCTTAAAGTGGCTAGAAGTGCATGGGACGCAAGCTGCAGGCGACTCGCCAAGTTCCCGCATCGAAATGCGTCACTAAGGCGCTAGGGGCCAAGGACTTTGACACGCTCCACCTGTTGCGACACGCTCCGCCCACCGCTCGATATCTTGTCTGCGTCGCAATGTTGATCTGCTATGCTCTCTCTTCTCGGACTTCTCTACCGCTCTCCGCGCTCACATTATCTCTCATCTCCCTGCCGGCCTTTTGAACTTCTCCGCAGCGTAGAGCAAAAGGCTCGTATTTCCTGTGTATTTCAGGATTTTTTCCTTTTTCTCCACTGGCGGTCCACCTCCCACCCCTACATCACATTTGAGTAGAATTACCTCATCAGTTTAAGCTTGAATCTTGCCTTTAATGTGGAGGATTCTACGATATGGTCGAAGATTGTCGACATTCGCATCGAAGGATATGCCCCGGCGACCTAGCATGGCCTCCTTCGGCGCGGTTGGCCCGGACGCCCACCGACTATCTAATCACTCGCCGCAGGTCTATACGCGGCGAGTGATTAGATAGCAGAGAGCGTTAGCGTTGAAGAGGTGAGAGTCGCATCAACGCGGAAATCAACGATCAAAGAATAGTCTCATTTTCCGTGTTTTGAGCTATGCTCATTTTTTATTTCTTTTATCCGCACCACTGACCACCTCCACCTTAGTTCTAATGGGCTGCCTTCCAATCCATTGGGCTGCCTTCCAATCTCAAGAGAATTGCGAAAATGTTTGAGCGTTCAAACTTTCTCTCTTTTCTTTCCTTAGCAGATTCCACGGCCTATACTCTAATGTTAGATCCTCGTTCAATTCCCATATCCTGCCGTCGTGCAATGTGCTTTTGAAGTGCTAGTGCTGGTATTAAGAAATGTTAGCTATAACACAGTCATTCGCCACGATAGACGATATCTGTAGCACTGCTTCTCAGTCAAACGGGGCAAGCGCTAATTGGTCGACCTCCCAGAGATGAACATTTTCCTATGACAAATGCTGTGCATTATGCAAGCCGTGGAAACACATATTAATCCCTTTTTTTGCTACTGGTATCCCCTATCCCCTATCCCGATATTTGTCAGTATTCATGTCCCATGCGGAAAGATTCCGCAGTTAGACTACGTGAATCCTTACATTCTGCGAGTTTGATAGAGTTTTCCTCGGAGGATGAAAATATGCGGCTCAAGATCGCGTGCAAAGGTTGTTAGGGCTTAGGGTCACCCACTGCATGTCAGTGCAGCTGTGGATCGGTCTGGGCGGCAACCTGTTTGTCACTTTGGGTTCTATGCTCTCTTGTCGTCCCTGTCGTAGCTACACACAGTTGTAGACTCGCCTAAACCTCAGGAGGCTATATCTTGACAGCCCTCGTTGGATCCCTATTTTCATTTTCGAACGGAGAAAAAAGTCTTTGTCATTGAGTGTGCTTTCAATAGGTACAGACTTTTTCGTTTACCTTAGGGAGCACAACAAATATTAACACATTGACGACCGCGCGCGTTTTGGCTTTTTTGGCCGTGTGGGACCGGGCCGATTTTGCGAGTGCGACCGCCGCACCTCGGATCCGTGAATTTTTATTGATAACTTTTTAAAGCACCAGTGGTACAAAAACATCTCAGTAACAGTCAATGCGTAGAAGGTAATAGAGTATATAGTGACGAAGTTCCGATTAAAGAACATGTAATGGTAATGAAAAAGGAAACTTTAGTCATTTTATCTGTAGTGGATGCCAAAAGCTCTTTTGATGTGGTTATACCAAGTGAAACATGTATTTTTCTGTCTCTTTAGATTTGCATTTACTTTCACTACCCTTTTTTATTGACGTGTTCATGAGAATAGCATGAAAACTATTAATGAACCAAGCCGCCGGTTTCGGTGAGCTTGGAAAACTTCTTCTAAACTGGAGCATATTTGAACAAACAATGACCTATGTCGTTCACAATAATGTTATGTTCTAATCCATAGAAGAGAGACAAACAATTCGGGAAAAAGCTGCGCATGCCCTAGAAAAAGGGATGATAAGGGTGAGACGCGGTAACGCGTCTCAATGTCCGTTCAATGGGTTAAACGCGGCGCAACCACTTCTCGAGTTTACAGCGTGAGCGCCAAAGTTAATGATAACACAGAGCGTGCGCGACGCGTCCGAATCAGTCTTTGTAACCTGTGGTTCAATTTTCTCTCTTTTTTTTGGGCAAATAGTGATCAAGGACAACATTTCGTCTTTGTGTCGAATCAAATATCGTTAGAAATCCCAAAATTGGTGAAACAACCTCACGGTATGTCAATCCTCAAATCGAACCGACATGGGGCTCTGGCACACTGCATCTAGCGACGACACTTCAACCTTGAAAGGGAAGCTCCTATGGCGGCTTGACGCTAGGCTTAGAAACGCCCCTAAGACGAAACGATGGTGATCTCAATGATGGCCACTTACAAGCGACATTCCATGTCAGAATTTCGTTTTTTTTCCTTGCGATTTATATGCCAGGACAAACTGAAAAAGAATGGTATAAAATACCGCTTGGACTTCCCTCTTTCGACACAAAGACGATGTTCTCTCGACCCCTCTCACGATCTAACTTCTGTCACGGAAAGGAGTTATTTAAGCACATTAACTAGGGCTTTTCACTAGGTCGAGGCACGTAGCCCTAAGGTTCAAATCCTGCAAGAAGGGATTTCTCTTTTCTTTCGATGCAAGAAACTATGATTTCTGTTCTTAGTTTTCTAACATCTCTTACCTAAAATTCCCTCACTGAGTTTCAGCTAGATTTCCTGCATGGTAAGCATGAAAGCAAGAACAGACCCAAACCACAAAAGATTTTCTGATTATGGCACAACAAAAAACTTGGAATCATTTTAACGCGCCTCATCTGCGTGCCACCGTGCACGCACTGCTTAATTATCTGAAGGCCTGTGTGTGCGCAGTAGGTGATAGATTTTCAATCCAAAGCTAGTTTTGTTTGTGATTGGAATGACTTACAATTTGTTGAAGTTCATTTGTTGCATTAGGCTCATATTCGTCTTTAGTTATATGTTTCTTGGTTACCATAATTTTAGTTCAACCTGCATACTCCCAGTATCCCGTATTATCTTGTTTTTCACTATTTTTTACCTCGTGCTCATGCCTAATAATCATGTTGTCGATTAGAGGGTAGATCTAAGGAATTAATTTTGAGATCTCTACCCACCATAGTTCGATGAAAGCCCTGTCACCATTCTTGTGCTCATGAATACCAACCTATCAAGTCCTTCTGCTTTGATGCTCTTTTTTGATTGAATTGTGATTACTCGGTAGCTCCTTGTGCTCCTCTCAATCAACATCCCAGCCCTTTTCCGCCTTTTCTCCTTTTTCTCAGAATGGCGACGTTCCAAGCTTGCCATCTTACCAGGAAGGTCTTTCAGGGCGTGACAAGCTTTTTGAAAACGGTCTTTTGCATGATATAGGGGCAGATGCGGGAACCACAGAACCATGTTTAATTTTTCCTGAACGGCCCTCTGAATACCAGAAAAGGGGTCCCTAGTTCGATTCCTCGTGGTGACAAATTTTTGCATTTCGAGTTGACGTTCCAAAATTCGCGCAAAATGGAGTTAGCATGAATAATTAGTACCATATTCATGATTAGGACCGTCAGTAACCCTACAAAAAGACTTTGACTTAAAAATTGGTGTGAAGGAGGTGACATCAAGCACCCACTGTGGTGTCACACCTTTTTCACCAGTTTTTTAATCAAAAGTTTATTTGTAAGGGTTACTGACGGTCCTAATCATGAATATGATACTAATATACTATACTAATATGTACTTACTATTCATGCTAACTTCCATTTTGCGCGAATTTTGGAACGTCAACTCGAAATGCAAAAATTTGTCACCACGAGGAATCGAACTAGGGACCCCTTTTCTGGTATTCAGAGGGCCGTTCAGGAAAAATTAAACATGGTTCTGTGGTTCCCGCATGTGCCCCTATATCATGCAAAAGACCGTTTTCAAAAAGCTTGGCACGCCCTGGAGACTTTTCACTTGTTAGTGAAATGCCTCCAGTGATAAACGATATTCCTTTCCGGTTGCACAAACATATGTTGCCTTATAATTTCCTTTGTAGTACAAGGACGACGTCTGTGATTCTCTACAAGATCATATCCTACTATATAAGCATGATTTACGATCAATAAATATCCTCCAATTGATCACGACGAGTTCCGAAATCACAGAGGGCACGCTGGTTGAGATAGTTATCAGCTGTGAGTTTTGTCTTTCAGTATTGAACGATTTTATGTATAGCGTTAAACTCAACATAGAGGTTTCGAACCCCCTTAGACTTCTGTTAAGTGTTTCCGATTTCGATGAACAACTTTTCTAATTGCCCACATGCATTCATAAAACTTCAACCTACCTTGTTTGTAACGGCACATAAAGGAGGGAAGATAACCTCCTTTTCAGTATAATCATCGCAAGATCGACTTTGAAGTGGTCGTTATGATGAAGCAATTTAACGATAATATAGCGACTTGAACCAAGACACGACTAACTTTTGATTTTTCTGAGATTTCTTGAGCTTACTTTTGGATAAGTTCAACCGTGTCGCAGTGTGGCTTCGAAAACTAATAGAAAGGAAGAAGATGAGCTATGAGCGATTGCAATTCAAAGGAGCGGGAGGCTGTGTTAGTGAGAGTCTTCTAATAATGAGAGTCTTCTGTCCGTTGCTCACTCATCGCGGATTTTCTTCGACACCTGCCGCGTCTCCTGGATACAATGCTATAGATCCGGTTAAGCCTGAGTGCTCTGTCCGCTTTCGCTACCGCGGACACGTCGCCGTCGTTGTCGTTGGCCATGCCATCGCACTCGCAATCAATTTTTCTATCCCTAATAATCGTCCTCAACAAGTCGGCTTCTCTTCGGATTTCATCTACCCACCGTCAGCAGCGTGCCTATCAATAACGAACTCCTACTCGCACCGTTTTCGGAAGTTTATACGTCTTGCTCTTCAAGTATTATAAGAGGAGCCTCTATAACGCATCGATGAAATGCCTTCTGTTGCTACGATGTTCCTCACTGGAAAGTTTGAATTCTTACGTGGACACAGCTTTGATGACAGCAGGACGAACATCGACAGGAGGACGATAGTGCTGGCCGGTAAGCCGAAGATATGCAAGTGTTGGCATCGGCGGTTTCAGCTGATAGCAAATGTTTGACTAGAAACAGGAGAGAGATGAGGGACCAGAATGAAGTTGTGATGAGTTCAAAAAAGAATTGGGAATATCTTCCACAATAATGCAAAGGAATGCCGAGAACTACTGAGTTTTTTCTTTTGAGTCCCATCTGATATCTTTTTATTGCCCTCTATATTAATTTTCTCACATTTTTGTTTGATCATTTATTCACATTTTTGTTTAATCATTTACTCTCCATTAGATTGATAAATATTTCGTTCAGCCTGTCCGCATCATGAGCGGCTGGTGGTGCATCCGCACACCTTGTATGTGCACTCATATAAGGCCCCGACGTTCTGCGACTTTTGTGGCGAACTACTGTTCGGTCTTGTCAAGCAGGGATTGAAGTGTCAAGGTGAGTTCGAAGAAATGAGCGGCTCTTTTCTGTAATTTCTTCCATAATAGCTTGGGTTCGCCAGCTAGAGTTGTTTAATGCAGGAGATTTATTTTGAAAAAGATTGGTTTCAAAAAAAAATAAAAAAATAATTGTTTGTTATCTATTTACCCCGTCATGTACTCTGCACATAAACAAGTGAATGTAATGAGGAAGTTAGGGGAAAGCAATCAATTACTTTTTTCCAAAAATTGACATTTGACATTTATTACACATCTATAAAGACATGTGAAGGAGCTTACAAAAATTATAAAACCAATTCCAGAACACCATAAGTAGAAAAAACCAGTAAATCAACCTGAATTGAGTGGAATAAAAAATTTAATATTATTATTTTTGCTCGTTGAGGTAGACGAAGCGCAATGGTGCACTCTATGGGTGGGGTTTCTTCCACTAACTGTCAGTTTCCATTCCTCTGGAATCTTTTGTCTGATGTGAACTGTCATAGTAAAGGTGAACTGTGTAGGCTGCATAGATATTGTGAAAAACGTCTCTGCGAATTTCAAAGGAGACAAAATGCGTGGTGCATTCCAGAGGCTTCAATTATCGGTCGAGTTACCGTTCATTTCTTCTTACCGTTCTCTCTTCTATCTTTTCAGTTTATTTTCTTTTTTTTTTCAAAAGAGGGGTTCTTCTCATTGGGTTGTGTTGCCACTATGCTAAGTATTTGTAAGAGTGGTCATCTAGTAATTTGCTTCATTAGCTGAAAGGAATAGTAAAGGTCATATCGTTCCTTCACAGCTGCTCTACGACATTGAAGCTCTGGTGGCGCTATTATTACTACATAAATGCATACCTTTTATTAGTTTCTGCATATTTTGTATTAATACGTCATCCATGCTAGTAAATACTTGGTTTGTCTCTCACTTCGAATGAAGCTGAAAAGAGCATAACGCGTTGCGTGAACTAATCAGAGGCCGTAGTGAGCACTTATGCATCCGTGTGCGCTGTGCCATTAAAAGAGGTGCGTGCACACTCCTGAAAATCGGATTAGTGACGAAGCAGCTATAAGTCGACAAAGAGGGTCGCCATATTCTCGAAGCGGATTTTGAAAACCTGATCATGAAGGAAACATTGGGGTTGTATCATTTTCAGGATACGTTCTAGCAAGTGCGGGAGTATGAAACTTTAAATACACCGAAAGGCGCGAAGCTTAAGTTAAAGGAATCTTGCGCGGAAAATTCTTGCACTCTTTCCTAACATGAATATGTCAGTTGTGATCACTGGAAATAGCACACAAAGTTTCACGCATGAAGATTCGGTTTCTGAAGAGAAACAAACGTACAAAAACTACACGTTATGGACCATCGAAGGACCAGGAGGCAGAGCCAGGCGAGGCATGGAAAGAAGACGGCGTTTGGCCGGCTACGTACCAGGCGACGCAATGAGAGAATCGGGTTAAAGCGCGCGATTTCGGAGAGTGGAGACAAATCGATCGATGGAATAGGATGGAGTAGAAGTGTAAGATGTGAATGCAACGAAGCAGAAGGCCAGAAAGAGCTTCTAGTGAATGCACTCCAAGAACCAAGTTTGAGCATCCCCGTCGCCAGCATTCGTGAAAGACGTCCGTGGGCAATTCGAACGCGTAGCAGCCTTTTCGAGTTTTCGAATTTCTAATCAAAACGAAAGCAATACTTCAGTTCTTTTCACTATTATCGTGGATAATGAGTCTCAAGCCAGTGATTTATGGCTGAAATAGAATCATGATTTTTCCGCGCAAGATTCCTTTAAGGCCGAAATTCTAAGGAAAATGATTTTTGATTTTCTGCTGTCAATATTATTTGAAACTACAGGGGGGCAAAAAAAGAGTCACTTCTCTCCACATTCAAAACGCAATTAATCTCGAACTGCGAAACCAAATCAAATGAGCCCAATTGCATATTAAAGAGCACATTCAAGTCTATCAAAAGGTTACATGACAGCCTTCTACACTGACGACATCAGAAGATTTCCCACGGAAACATGGTTCACGGTACGAGCTCAACGAGGTCGTCGAGGTACCATAGACCATTACGACGTCCCTGAAACGCTGGTCAAAAGCGGTCTTGCACAGTCACAGCTAGTGTCTCTGGGAAGCTATTCACGCTTAACCGATTGAAGAAATTATGTAGCAGCTTCAGGCCGGAGCGATTACGGTAAGCCTCGTTGAGCTTGACGGCGACGGCAGATGACGTCATATTCTGAAGACCGTGAGGGCAGTGAAGGAGGGGCTGCTTCTGCTTATGGGGGGACACCTAAGGAATATTCTGCCGTAAAACATTCATTACAACGGCATCCTGTGCGAAGAAAAATTTGATGATGTGCCATAGGCAAAGTGACTCTTTTTTTTTGGCCCCCCCTGTAGTCACCAGCACCTACTACCCTTTCTATCCTCTCATCCAATTTTCTGCAATTGGTGGGAAATATGAAGCGAATTCCATTAAATTGTTGTTCAGGCAGTCAATTGCTCTGAAATGGGATCCTCACAGTAATATATGTAGGTGTTCATCACCAGCGTCTATTTTGAAGCAAATACGCGCAGGTGACAGAAAATTGAATTTTGAGACCTGATAATCGTTTCCATTTCGAGCATTCCCGAGTTGTGGTCCGGGCAGGTGTAGGTCTCCTTCTTCTTCCTAGCTTTATTCTGTGCGTACTAACCCGAGGTCCATTGCTCCTATTCTGCGTTGCTTTCTCTTGTCCCCATTTGGCTGGCTTTGATCTCAATGGGATCTCTTCCATGACGTCCATCCCTTTTTTGATGCTAGTCATTACCTGCTTTGTTAATCGGGTCCAATTCTTCTCTCATGAGGTGATCCTGCTGCCTTCTCAGCAAATGTCCATACCATCGCAATCGCTTCGCGCACCCCTTTAGTTGGATAGTGCAATCTACATGGACGTCCTAACTTTCTTGTTTGTAACCTTGTCTCTTCGCGTCCGGCAGTAGTCCCATCTCACAACCAGCGTCCTCATTTTGGCCGAGTACAGCTCCTTCACTTGAATTTTGCCTGCTTGCTCTTCCGCATACCTGGCTGAAGAATTGATATTGCCCGATTTGGATGATAATAGTACCGAAGAATTCATCCAAGCAACAAATTCTATCCTATTGTTCAAATAGAGTTTTTGACATCATCTGCAACGACAATTGTATTCTTTAATTGGTTTTTGGCTTTTTTTTGGTTTTTGCCTGTCTGGCCGTGTATGCAAAAGGTTCACTTTATAATGCTTTACTTTATACTTTATTTGCTTTTACTTTTTTATTCTCGTTTTCTGAATCTTTAAAGACGATCTCGTACAATTATGATTAGACCGAAGTGGAATTTGTACGTAATTGGGTTGACTTTCATGACATACAGATCCTGACCGGGTCATGTTCAGCATCTCAACTCGGACGGTCTTTGAATTTAGTATTTGTTTTCAGGTTGCGGTCTAAATTATCACAAACGATGTGCATCAAAGATTCCAAACAACTGCAATGGGTCACGTCAGAGAAGGCCGAGTGCAATTCCACTCTCTCCATCCACTTCAAATGTGCTGAACCTCACGGACAGACGGGTAACGTTAAAGTCATTTGCACTCACCAGAGTGGTATTTCATATCTACCTTCCAAATCTGTTGAACGGTCCTTCAAAGGAAACTGAACAGCGCAACGGTGATACCTGCTCTTAGAGGTAGCTGACTAACATCTGTCCACCTTTAAGCGAAGGTTCTTCTGGAATGAATCAGCTTTTAAGCTGGAAGGAAAAATGAATTCTTGCTCACTTGTTTACATGATTCCAGTATTCACACGGCATCATTCTTGAATACAAATAAAAAAAAAAAAAAGACAATATCCGCTTAGGAGCCTAAACTGGCTGATCTCAGATTCAACTGGCTAGACAACACCAGTGACTGCCACCCTTTCGATACTTGGTGAAATCCCAGAATTTGGCTGTAACTCCTTCACAGGAGTGGTTTCACCCCTCAAACGGTTGTCATGAATTCTGCAACAACCCAGTACTCTAGTACTACGGGCGCCATGAGCACTCACTGGCAAATTATGCTTGAATTTGCTAGGAACTCCTCTAACGCTCTGTATATCTGGGTAACTATAGGCTCATTTTAATGAAGTATCATGGTCAAAGCCTCTTTGACATATGGCCGCAAAGATCAGAAGCGAAGCGCACCGGAACCGATCTCACCTCACATCTTTCGTAAGAGCCAAGGGCACTGCGAATTGCACTATGGCTGCATGGGTTCCTTCCATTAATGTTATAGGGGCCTTTTATGCGATATCATGCAGGACAATGTGAGCAAAAAAACATTCGTAACTTATATTGTAACGTATAACTTCATGAGTCATAAGTTTTGCCCATGACTCGGCATTCTTGTGGAACATTGGCATCGCGGACTGCTGCATTTAACCCTTTGACGACAATGCTGATTTCCCGTAACGTGCTCGGGACCAGGGTCAACCGTTACGTTGGACCGATATTGGAGCGACGTTGGACCGATGTTGACCGCTCTCCGCGCCGGCATTCACTCTCGCCACCCGCGAGCCGTCTGTGTCTCCGTGCGTACGTTCACTCTCGGCATTACTCTCACACGTCGTCGCGTTGGACTTTGTCCAACGGACGGTTGACCCTGCTGGGACCACCCTCTTTTTGGCGCTCCAACTCTCGCCTAATGTGGACCAAATTGCCCCTAAAAGCAGTTTTTATATCAAAATTTTGATTTTTGCAATATTCAAAATATGACTGCAGCCTTTAGCTTTATGATCATGTATTGTTGAACTTAGAAGTGGAAGTTTGGAGAGAGAATCTCGGATTTCAAAGGGATGGCTTTAAAAACTCTAGAAGTTCATGCGTACAGTAGAACTTTTGATATAGTTCAAACTCCTTTGTGTCTTAAGACTCTGAAAAGACGTAGAGGTCCTGACCAGTAATTCACCTCAAGCTTAATAATGTAAAACACTAGTTAATATGTCGCCGAGCGAAGTGCCACATCCTAAAATTTCATATAAATTAGATAAATTAGCTAGTAACAAACATTTCTGCAAAATATGCTGAACATAGGCGTAACGGAGCTTGCTTATAATTACTGATATGTTGAAAATGTTTTAAATGGGTAAAGAAGAAAATTTTAGGGTGGCACCCACCATTGGGTGCCATTGTCCCACGCGACGGTCATAGTGGCACCCACCGGTGGGTGCCATTGTCGCCAAAGGGTTAAACAGCAGTTAACAAACAAAGACAATTCATAAGCCTGTCCAGTGAATTGTGCAGCAGATTCAAATGGTGTAGATTGAGATCAGCATTTCAAAACGTGTGGAACTGCATGCATCTCATTGCAAAGACCTAATGGCCCTCTCCTTATTAGCCTTTTTATGTCTTTATTTATCTTCAGTGCGGTTCGCCACACACTCACACGTTCATTTCTATTACCGCCCCGCCTTGAAATTTCTGTCGGATTGAGAGATCTTGCCAACATCAATCCACTGTTTCGTGGACTCTAAACAGTATCGTGAACGCCATCTAAGTTTCGTGAAATATTCCGCTATTTCGGTGCCCGTCCACCAATAGCAAATGTTCTTCCTTCCTTCGCCAGTCTCCATCTACTTTTTGCGGATTTCTGGGTCTTCTCTGGGCAGGTCTTCCGCGCTTTTCTTCTGTCTTGAGAACACCTTAAATCTTCCTTTAAAATAAAGTTCTTGTAGTAAACTTTGCTATTTCATAGAAAAAAATTTCTCCTGAAAGTTCCTTTATCTTTTTGAACTTTTATCGCTTTCAGTAAATCAAGCCATGATAAGGTTAGTCTCTGAATTCAGAAGAAGACTGGCAATTTTGCAAGTCATGACAACTTTTTCCGCATTTGTTTTTTGTTCTGTTCTACATACACTTCTCAGACTTTACGAGCAGGGTAAAACGTGATGATCAAACTCCACAGTCCTTTGCATAGCCGGTGTGAGACTTTGCGACCAGCGTTTGGCTTGCAGCGAATTCGCAGAGTCGCTCCTACTGGGTGATCGCTAGATTCGCAGAGTCTAACAACGGCCTATTACTGGTGTTCTCATTCTCTGACGATAAGTTTCACTTTTGCAGCAATCTCGAAGGGACTCATGTCTCGATGGGTTAGATGCCGGCAGACCATCGTCGACAATTGGTGGACAACAGCTTGCTCCAGACATCTTCATCACAACAGATACGGACTGTGGAGATCCAGTAGGGGGCAATGTAAGATTTCTTTGAATTCGACTAGATATTAGCTTCAAATGCCATCCAATTTGGAACAGACTTTTTTGCATCGTGCATCTCGAAAAAAATAACAATTGAATTTATATTATATTACATTAGAATGAAGAATGTCGGCCTCTCGAATCAGGATGTATTTTTAGCAGAGACTTAAGCAAAGGTTTTTTGCAATTCAGACGTCACTGAACTGAATAATCTGGTCTTAGGTCTCTGCTAAAGACATTACATTTGGAAAAGTAATTTGGGATGGTCGTCCTTTTTTCATCTACAATGAAAGTGGATCAGTTTGTCCTTCTAAAATATCACTTTCAGCTAAAATAGGAGATGCTAAAATTAATAGCTGGTCAAAATCATAATAATTTTGTTGTTCAGTTCTTACAAATGCCTCGAAAGGATCGCAGTTGCTCTTGGAGCGGCAGGCCGTTGTGGATGGAGATCGCCGAAGCGACTAGGGTTAAAGTAAGTTCTCATTTTGTAAGGTCACGTAATGTTGATTTTAGACAAATTTAGGACGTTTTCATCAGGTGCCACATACCTTTCAAGTGCACAGCTATAAACGACCTACCGTGTGTCAGTACTGTAAAAAGCTTCTGAAAGGCCTTATAAGGCAAGGGCATACAATGTAGAGGTTGGTGATATCTTTATTCTTCTTGTTAGCCCCTGAAGAATCGATTCTTATTTTTGTTCCACAAAAATTATTAAGCAGCGAAGGTACACCTTTGTTACGCTCAGACAATACTAACAATTTGCACTTTAGACATTATTCTCTTCTGATACAATTGGCATCTCGTACGCTACTGTCGCAATTTAATTTTCAGAACTGTAATACCATTGTCATAAAAATGCAGTGAAGTATGTGGCCAAAGGATTGTCCTGGAACACAATCAAATCACTTGTCTTGCACTTCTGAAGAGGTAAGATGCTTTAGCAAGCAAGTTGCAGGGCCAAAGTTATACGTGCTTGATCTCTTCCTCAGTCAAAAATCATTTATGTCCCATGGTAGACGAAAAGGATAATCAATACGGAGGATTCTAAGTAATTGCAAATTCGATCATTATTTTTCTGGAGCGAATTAAGCGAAACCACCGCCGCTGCTGAGGAAGAGGCAGTCTTTGTAACTCTGAGCTCAAGCGTGTTATGGTCATGAAATCATTGTTTCAGTCCTATCGCTGAACGAAGGTTCAGACCCATATTTCGATTTACTATATTAGCAAAAATTTTTCCGAAGGTCCCGCAAATGGAACCTTTCTAGCCCACCTGTGCGGCCCGACGGTAGAAAAACGTTCTAACGATCTTGATAAGCAGGCAGCGACAAAAAACGGCCTGTTTGCCGCAAATATTTCAATGTTTTAGATAATTAGTCACTACGAGGCTGGCACCGCATCCTATTTAACAATTGCTGTGGGCCGAAGAGATCTTTATATGCTTCTGAAAGGCGTTGTTATCATTTCGGATTATAAACGCTGGTTTTTCATTGCGATCTGCTAACGGACGCCGCAGAATCTTCCTCAAAAAACAGAATGGATCCGCTTGGTGAAAAATCAACAGGCGCTCAAGATTGCAACCGTAAGACCAATAGACTTATTTGAAGATCAAAATGTCCTTTGAGCAAGCATTAGTGGTGTGACTAAGCTCAGTAATGAGACGCTCTCTGAATAAGAGAATTCGCAGTTAAACGCCGCATACACTTGAGAAATTGCAATCACCACTTTTATTAGAACATAAATTCAAAAAATCTGCGTTTCGCATGGCGAAGACTGAAGCATGAATCAAATCATGTCCATTCTATGGTTAAACAAGATTTGGACAATACTGAACATTTTCCGGCTAGATTTTATGCTCTTTTCCCTCTTCTTCTTCATGCTATTCTTTGCTAGTGTTAGGTCGAAGTTTGGGTGGCAGTATGGAGAATCTGCGCATGTGCAGTGTGCCCTACGATGCGGATCAATCAACGGGTAGCGGTTGAAAGACAATATTGAATTCCTGATCGTGAAGGGTTGTTGATAATGACCTAATCATAGATAATTACTACTGCAGTTCTGTCACAAAGTCTTCTCCCGACTTGACCCTGTCGGAAAGCGTCAGGGCTTCATCATCAGAAAATTGTTAAAGGCACGAGTCGGGATTGAATTGATGCGTTATTTTGTTCAAACATTAGGCAAGGGGTGCAATGAGGAACATTAGTGAGGAGAAAAGCAAAAAGCACCATAGAAAACACTAAATTTCCCTTAGGAGGCCGTAGTACGACGGAGAGACACAGCGCTGCGAGGAGAGGGAGAACGCGAGATAGTACGTCATACGTGAGAGACGCAGAGACCACGTATGCCGTGGTGGATTACGCTGGCAGCGCGGCGGAGCAAGGCCTTAGCGCCATTGCCGCGCACTTTTGGGTCGAGATAGTGTCGCGCCCTCAGTGCTTGGGGAGCCCACTATCGCACCCTGGGAAGAACTTCTACTGGTTGCCTAATCTTGACTTGTGTGATCGTATAACTTGAAATTCCACAATAAGACCACAAAGCCTCTGATAATATGATAAGAGAAGGGTAAATCCCTCGGGTATAACCGCGACCAACTCTCCTTCAAGAAACTTTAAATACAGGGCTAGCAAGGTTCAAGAAAGTATTCGTTTGCCTCAAGAAATCTATTCACAGTAATGATTCGAGGTGAAGACTTGCTACAATTTGAAAATCGACTCAGTGTGGTAAAATCGGCATACGTGACAATATATATGCAGGCGGTTCTTGAAAAAATGTCAGCTTCTCCCAAACAGCCTGGCGGTCATTTTTTTGGAGCCAGCACGCGTGCATGTGATTCAAATCTTCGGTGCCAAATTCATATTCCGCGAAACGTACTGGAGCTGTTCTGCCTACAACTGTACTATCACCCCACCTTTCACTGGTTCGGCAGCTTTGATGACTCGGCTTTGTGCTCACCTTATACTCCTACAACATCGTCCTCTTTGCGAGCATGCAAGCTCATTACTCTTGCGGCGTGACATCGTTGGTGTTCGAGGGGCGGGGGATGACTGAGTTGACATTATACGGGGAAAGCCCTTTCCGTTTAAAACATAATACATTTTAATATCAAAATCTGCGTTGGTGTCGCTAGAGGGGGTGGGCAGGAGGGAGTGGTAGGAAATCGTCACAAGGGAAGCACAACGCATTCAAAACCCACCAAACTTTCCATTAGCATAGAAAAACTGATACTCATCTGAACTCCTTTTCGCACAAGAAAGTGGGCACCAGGCGAAGTTGAAGAGGGGAATGCGTTTTGTGTTAAATTAGGCGTGCTTTGTAGATCAGACGCAGCTCTGCACAAGGACAGACGCCATAGCACTAATTGCACTACTAGTAGCCACACGCTTTATCACCATTCTTTATGTTTTTTTTTTGTTTTTCATTGTGTTAGACGTCATTTATTGCTGTACAGTGCCACTGAAATTAAAAGAGCCACGCTACGGCGAGGGAAATAAGTCTGTATTCGGCGGCAAAGAGCTTCTGGGGGAATGAAGATAGCTTACACACTGTAGAGCCCCTCTTCGTCTACTACCCTCGCCCGTCTCTCCTCGCCTGTCTCTCCCCACGCCATAAAGGGTTAGTCTACAAAACTAAGCATTGCCTTGACCCTGTTTTGAAGCTGTGTAGAATAAGAAAAGGATGGGAATCCAGATTTCACTTACTGCAAGAGACGGTGAAACGTGTGGAAGAAGAGAATGAAGAATCGGCATGGAGGACTGTTTGGGGGACGAGTGCGCAAGAAGGCAAAGTGGAAAGGGTCAACGTGCGTATGAGAGAAACTCTCACTCTCTCTTCCCCACTCTAGAGTCGATGGTGCATTGTTCGAACTTCTGGAGCATCGCTCTCACACAGTGCTTCGTTCGAGATTCGCTGGATTTGCACAGACTAGCAGCGACCTTCAAAGGCAGCACCGAGTTCGTGCGTTACGTTTGAGCAGTTCCAATGAATCGTGCACGGAATCGCATAGCTCTTCCCCTTTATAGTCGGTTGTTTGAGAGCGACCCTTCCGAGAAATCACCCATGCCAAAAACATTTCACTCTTTTCCTGCATCATAATCTATCGCGCTGAAATGTTGTTTTTTCAAATTTTCTCATTACGGAAAATGAGGTCCCTCGCTACGGCTATTCGTCTACGTTTTACTCTGTCCAAGTTTCTAGCTGTCCGCGAAGTAACTTTTCAGAAACTGTTCCTTTTCGGACTGAATTTTCATGAATGGACCTTCCACGGTGTATTAAGAGATCACATTTGAAAGCATTTAGAGCGTAAGGAATGCAACAATTTGCCATGCACGATTCCTTCGAAATAGATTTCAACGCATGGACACTCCAAAAGGGTACCCGACAGGAGGCCCGTCGCGCGGCAAGAAGGCAGAGTCAGCGGACGAGTCGCAGCGCGTACTGTAGTGATTTCGCGTCAAGTTAAATAGAATGTACCATTGTACGTCCTACATCGCACATCACGCGCTGCGACTCGTCCGCTGACTCTGCCTTCTTGCCGCGCGATGGGCCTCCTGTCGGGTATCTCCAAGAGCGTATGCTACAAGTTGCCGATAACATTATTATTGAGTTCTTCCAATGCGTACCAGTCCTGAAAATTACCATATATTATTGTTGAAATGGTCATTATCAACAACCTGAATTGTTGTCGTTTTTTAAATCCTTTTTAGTAGCTTTCGCTTTGGTGATGTTTGAATCGTGTTGCCAGAATAACCCATTTTACGACACTAACACCGGTGTGCTTAGCAGTCTGTGGAAGTGCTACACCTTCATTCATTTGAAAAAAAAAATTGCGCACAACTGTGCCCACTTTCAAGTCAGCAAAGTTACCGGAATATCCAGCATGGGTAAGGTGCGATTCGTATAAAATTATCAATTTGTGTCTTTCTAAACAGGTAGAACTTCTCTCTGTCGGTTATCCTATGCTGAAAACAAGCCTTCTATCAGAGTGGTCAGAAAGGGAGAGATTTCCATCTGTATTTCAGAAGGTAACCCCCAGATCAAATTTGTGGGGTCACAGCGGTTGATAGTGGAGTTTGGATGCCAAACCCAGTTAAACATGGAAAAAAAAAGAAAACTACGCGAAGTCACATAACAAAAAAAAATAAACAAAATCCCCTTGAAAAGAAGGCGGCGAGACGCGTTGTCGAACGTTTTCGCTCCGTGGTCACCAGCCTGCGCCTTTGTAGCCCTATCGGCGCTAACCCGCTGCGCTTGCTAGAGTGTGCGCTCCTCCAAATGCTAGGATTACTCGCCAAATGCTGACTTTGTAAGAGCCTAGCGCCATCCGCACTTTCGAGCCGCGACAACGGCAATCTATGATATCTAATCTATGATATTCGTGAGCTACTCTATGCCACCCACTCAAGGGGTTTCTCGGTACGACTCTCCCGAGGATTTCGTTCACAGATGATTGATGAAAATGATTGCGCAGATAAACGTACTTCAATAGTAATCATAGCATAACATAGTTCTTATACATTCAGGCGCGATCGATCCTCTTTGGATTCTACTAGTTGACACTTGGGTCAGGTAATCTGACGCGTTTTGCCTGTAAGAAGTGCTGTGGATAGTTCCGAAGATACCAGGATGCAGATCCTAATATGACTTCA